GTGTTACCCGTGGTTTGCCCTTGCTCCGGTCCGTAGTTGATGGCGTAGTTATGCGCCCCTTGGAGATCATGTCCCTCGTGATGGACAAATTTGTCGTTACGAGAGTTCCTCTTTTTCTGCTTCTGCTCGGACGCGTTATCCTTCGCAGACGTTTTCGTCGGCTTATGCTTCTCGGACAGGATTTTAGTCTCCTCTTCGATGGTTATGAAGTCAGTGGCCTTATGGAGCGCATCCTGGATCGTCCGCGGTTTCTCGAGAGTTATCCACTTGCGGAATTTGATTTATACAAGAGCGATTTCCTTAACGCGTCGATGGCGGCTTTGTCGCTAATCCCGCTAACCCTAGCCATGACGATTTTGAACCTACTCATGAAATCGCGGAGAGATTCGTCCTCCTTCTGCACCAAGCTCCAGAGGTCGGCGTCGGAGGTTTCCGGGTTAATGAACATCGAGTATTGCTTCAGGAATTCCGAAGCCAGTCGACGGAAACTTCCGATCGAATTTCGTCTAATTTTGGCGAACCATTCGAGCGCTGCTCCTTCTAGGTTTTCGACGAAGAGGCGGCAGTAGCCTGCGTCCTTTTCGTGGTCCTTGAGCTTGGCTCGTCCCATGGTGATCTGGAATGCTTGTAGGTGTGCTTTGGGATCGGACGTCCCGTCGTAAGTCGGCACCTTAAGTTTTCCGGGATGGGGCAGTTTGATCTCGGTGATGCAAGCCGTGAAGGGCGTTTTCCGAGACTCGTACAATAACCGATCGATTTCTGGTGCGGCGCTGGTAGCGTGATGAATCTGAGATTTCACTGCTTTTACTGCTGCGGCCGTTTTAGTGATGTATTCGTGGAGATCGCGAATCTCGGTCAGATTGCCAGCAGTTTTCCGACCTTGTCGATGTTTGCTGTGAGTGACCGGAGATCGCTCCTCGGCGGTCTTTGCTTATCGCGTAAAGTCGAGTTCCCCCTCGTCTCCAGTAAAAGAACGTTCGGGAGAAGACTCCGGCAGAGGACTTCGAGTTTTTCTTCTCCTAGGATGGACGTTAGCGTCTTCGTCCGACGAATCGGCCTGGTCACTTGTCTCCAGGTTAACCCTTTCGATGCCATCACCCTCGGTCTCCTGTTCGCGAGTAGGAGGTTTCTCCGATTCGTTTGGCGTCACGTCAGGGTTATCCTTTCTGGAATATTTTTCCGGTAAGTTACCCTGCTCGGTTCTGGGACGATCCGTAGGAGCGCCGAAACCGAGCCTCCTTCCGCGGATCTTAGTAGTTCCGCGAGGGCGAATTGCTCAGGTTTTCGCGGTTAGGGTTTCAACCCGTTTCGCGAGCGAGCCAATGAGCTTTTCCTGCTCTTCCGATTTTTTGTTAAACTCGGAAAACATCTTTTTGATGGTCTCGGCGTTAGCGTTTGTAGCGTTGGCCGCGGATGAATCTTGTGGTGGTGTTGTTTCAATGTTATCGCGTTCGTTGCGAGTTTGGTTGTCACCAGTCATCATTTCTTCGTTGGACATGTTGCGGCGTCGGTGTAAGATAGATCCGACCCCCCCCCCTCCTTCTAGCGCCAAACTGTGGGAACCGAAATCCACCTACTGTCAATAAATCGTAAAAAAGGAAACTTCGGGAAAATCCTAAGTTTCTAGAGGAACCGGCTATCTGCAGAACCGCACAACAAAGATTAAGAAAACGATAAACTTAGAATGTAAAAGAGAATAAACAAAATCGAGAGAAAAGAGGTTCTTATTCCGAATCTGTGTAAGAACTGGTACAAAAAGAGTAGCCGAAAGCCTAAGAACGAAAAACCCTAATTGAGACGCAGCTCGCTAACAGAAAAAGGAAATATTCCTAAATGCTAATTTTGGTGGTGAGAGCTCTGAAAATCATGTTCCAGCTTCTGCCCTATGCCTCCTCCTTATATACTCCTCCTTAGGCGGTTTTAATCTCTCCATTTCGCCCGAAACCGAATATATTGGGAATTTTCCATTTCTGTCAATCCTTCCTTTTCTTCCGCGTAAATCTTCTATTTATCTTCAAACTTGCCTTTTATCTCCCTTGTGCCAATAAACCGTCAAAACGTCATTGTATCTTTGGGTTTGATTTCGTTAATATCGCGAGATGGGTTTTTATCGTGTTTTAGGACCTTTCGGGCCGTTTTACGATAAAAACCGTTTTACGACTTTATACGAACCCTTTTCTTGATCCGATGCCGTTTTTACGATTTTTTCGACGTTTTTTTTATTTAAAACGCGTTTTTATGATCTTAACGAAAAATCTCAGATAAATCGTATAGTTTAGAAGATGTTCGGTGTCTTGCTTAACTGTTATCGTTTTATACGATTTCTTCGAGTTCTTTTCGAGAAAGCGGAGTTTTACGGTTTTTATCGTAGAATTCGAATGATAAGTCGGATCGAGACGAAACGAGAGACATTTTGTCCGTGGTTCAGAATGTGACCGTGTCGAAGGACGTAAGGTTGAATCGGGGCTGCGGGAGATCCGGGAGACCTCTAGTTCGCCTGCTGGCAAACTATCGTGCTGGCTTAGTTCTCCAGCAGGTGAACTAGCCGGGAAGTTCCTAGTTCGCCTGCTGGCGAACTAAGCCAAGCTGGCTTAGTTCGCCAGCAGGTGAACTAGTTGGAAGCTTCTAGTTCGCCTGCTTGCGAACTAAGCCAAGCTGGCTTAGTTCGCCAGCAGGCGAACTAGTCCGGGACTGTCTAGTTCGTCTGCTGGCGAACTAGTTGGTGAGGCTCTAGTTCGCCTCCTGGCGAACTAGTCGTGACTAGTTCGCGTTTCGTCGCGGTTTCTGTTTTTCGCGGTTTTGTAAAACGATTTCTCGAGTTTTATAAAACGATCTTCGAGTTTTATAAAACGATCTTCGAGTTTTATAAAACGGCTTCTCGAGTTTTATAAAACGATCTTCGAGTTTTATAAAACGGCTTCTCGAGTTTTATAAAACGATCTTCGAGTTTTATAAAACGGCTTCTCGAGTTTAATGAAACGATCTTCGAGTTTTATAAAACTATCTTCGAGTTTTATAAAACGATCTTCAAGTTTTATAAAACGGCTTCTCGAGTTTTATAAAATGATCTTTGAGTTTTATAAAACGATCTTCGAGTTTTATAAGACGATCTTCGAGTTTTATAAAATGATCTTCGAGTTTTATAAAACGGCTTCTCGAGTTTTATAAAACGATCTTTGAGTTTTATAAAACGATCTTCGAGTTTTATAAAACGGCTTCTCGAGTTCAATAAAACGGTCTTCGAGTTTTATAAAACGATCTTCGAGTTTTATAAAACGGCTTCGAGTTTTATAAAACGGCTTCTCGAGTTTTTTTTAAAACGATCTTCGAGTTTTATAAAACGGCTTCTCGAGTTTTATAAAACGATCTTTGAGTTTTATAAAACGATCTTCGAGTTTTATAAAACGGCTTCTCGAGTTTTATAAAACAGTCCTCGAGTTATAAAACGATCTTCGAGTTTTTATAATACGGCTTCTCGAGTTTTATAAAACCATCTTTGAGTTTTATAAAACGATCTTCGAGTTTTATAAAGCGATCTTCGAGTTTTATAAAACGTCTTCGAGTTTATAAAACGACTTCTTGGGTTTTATAAAACTATTCCTTTTGTATTTTTGCGGGGAGTTTTGGCTATTGATTCCGTCGTACCGATTTTGACCCCAACAATGAACCATTCCTATATAGACAGTGCAAAGACAGATTCTTTATAAAATGTATTCCAGAGGCTGAGATTCCAGGAATCCTACATCACTGCCATGATTCTTCTTACGCTGGAAACTTTGCCATCTTCAATGACAGTCTTCAAAATACTCCAAGATGGGTTCTGGGGGCCTATAATGTTCAGAGATGCTCACGCCTTCATCGACAAGTGAAACTCGTGCCAGAGACAAGGGAACATCATCAAAAAGAAGAAATGCCTTAGAACTTCATACTGGAAGTTGAGGTGTTCGATCGACTGTTGGGGAATCGATTTCATGGGACCTTTTCTCACCTTCCTTTAAAAATGAATATATACTTGTTGTGGTGGATTACGTGTCTAAGTGGGTAGCGGCAATAGCCAACCCCAAGAACAATGCTCAAGTGGTGCTCAAGATGTTCAAATCAGTCATCTACCTAAGGCTTGGAGGGCCCCAAATAATGATCAGCGATGGATGCAGCCATTTCTTCAACAAGGTTTTACAAGGCCTGCTAAGGAAGACTGGTGTCAAACACAAGGTAGCTACTCCTTACCACACTCAGGTGAGTTGCCAGGTTGAGGTCTCTAACAGAGAGATGAAGAACATTTTGCAAAAGATAATCAGTACCACCCGTAAGGACTGGTCATTCAAAATCGATGATGTTCTCTTGGCTTAAAGTACAGCCTATAAGACGTCTCTTGGGACCACTCCCTATCACATGGTCTACGGCAAGGCCTGCCACATTCCTCTCAAACTAGAATATAAGACTGCTTGGGCTGTTAAGCTTTTAAACTTTGACATCAAATCTGCCAACGAAAGCCGTTCCATTCAAATCCACGAGCTGGATGAGATAAGGCACCTCGCCTACTAGAGCTCCAAAATCTACAAGGAGAAGACCAAGGCATATTATGACAAGCAGATCATCAGAAGGAACTTTGAACCTTGCTTTTTAACTACATTGTAAATTTGTTCCCTGGAAAGCTGAAATCAAGATGGTCCGAACCTTCACCATCATGGAGATTCGACCATATGGAACTATTGTGTAGCTGGACACAAAGGAGAAGAGTTTGTTGTGAATGGTCAGCGCCTCAAACCTTATCTTGCTGAAACAACCATCGCAGCGGGTGAAGAAATACCCTTAAGTGATCCCTTCTTAGCCTAATCGGCTAACCAAAGTCAAGCTAGAGACTTTAACCAAGCGTTTGGTGGGAGGCAACCCACTGGTGAGTGTACATATTTACTTTTCGCTTTGCTTGTCTTCTTAGAAACTAACTTGCATTTCGTAAAAGAAAAACAAGAGATCCTTCAGGCGGAAAAACCAAATGCATGTTCCCATCAGGAAACAGCTGCTTCGTCCAGATTCCTGTTCCGTTCAAGAACAGCCGCTCCCAGGTAAGTATGTTGGTAAAAAAGAAAAAGAAAAAATAAAAGGCACGGTTAGGGTTTTTTCTATTTAAGACTCATCCCTCAGCACTTTCCCCACTTAACCACTCGCCGCTTCCTTCCCCCTCTCTTCTAAGATTAAAAGCCAAAACCCAAGTCTTAATTTTCAACTGTTTGAGTGATTTATGGATTTTATATGCTCGAATACTTGAGTTCTCTTTGTTTTTGCAGTCTTCTCTCTCAAACGAACAAGGTAAGTCGTTCAAACTCCTCCACATTCACGCATGCAAATCGCAAATGGTGGTTGAATCTCTCTTTCCTTCTAGAATTTGATGAATCACTTCTAGCCAATATATCTGTAAATCGTTTTGCCCTTTTTACTGTAAAGTTTGATATAGAATGAAACTGAGACGGAATTTGAATCATTTTTTCTCTGATCAGTTGCATGCGTTCTTCGATAGAAAATCTTGTCTGTTCACCTTCTTAGCAATAAATCGAGAAATGTTGATTGAGAATGGAAATAGATTGCTTGTTTGGGATTGAGATTTTGTGTTGATTATGCAGAAATACTTTGATTTCGGATTGCTTATGAAATAAATGGACTTGTTCTAAATCGAGATTGGTTAAAGTTTCTATCTTTTCTAGAGCAATCCAAGAACCGTATTAAATTTGTGTTTGCTTTTTATGTTTTGCAGATTCCACGTTACAAGCAAAAATCGGTGAAAACGCCAAAGTACTCTCGCAAAAATCCACAACCACAAATCCCTGGAATCACAGCCTCTTACCTTTGGCCACACGAAGAAGAATGAGTGACAATCCAAATCGATGATCGAAGTTTGCTCACCTACAATTGGGAAAGCCGGGACAAGGAGAAGACCAAAGCATACAATGCTCTGCTGAACATCAATATCCTCCCGACGCGATTTGTGCACTCAAAAATTCGGCTCAGAATTGATGAGGACGTGTCCGAAACACTCTCTGCTCAATGGATCTTTGAACTCTTCATAACATCCACATATTATTGTGGGAATCGAAGTTTGAATTTTCAGTTCCGATGAAAATAAGGAAAGTTAGGAATTAGTAGTAATAATATTCTGTTTAAAAATAACTAATATCGTATACAAGATTTTTGTTTGGATTTAATATCGTATACAAGATGTTATTTGTACAGAACTACAGATAATAAAGGGCAAATTCTCAAAATTTAAATAAAATTGGAAACGAAACAAAAAAAGGAAAGAGAAAGTGTTTGTTCTTTGATTAATCAATGTGTCGCCGCTTGCTCCGTCTTCAATCGTCCTCTGGTTTGATTCTAAAACGCTTCTTCCTCTTTCCTGTACAATTAGATCTGATCGGAATCAAGTTAAGGGAATCATATTGTGTAATGCGCGCGTCTGGCTCGTATAGATTCGAAATCGAAATTTTAGTTTTTAAGGAATTGCAAAGTAGAAACCCTAACTACTCTCTCTCTCTGTGGTGCAGGAAGTGATAATGGAAAGGATTAGAAACTTGAAGATAAAGACATCAATTTGTAAAAGGATTGTGAAAGAGCTTCACTCCTATGAGAAAGAGGTTGAGACAGAAGCTGCTAAGACTGCTGCCATGAAGGACAATGGAGCTGACCAATACTACCAGACTTTGATCATTGCCAGATGTGACGCACCAGTCCTACAAAAGAAGATCAAAACTTGGAGATAACCTCACCAAGAAACTAAGAAATGTTCTATAAAGAACAAAGAGAGATAAACTCATAAAAAGGGGGAAAAAATCTGATTTATTTTCTGGCTCATAGGCCCTATTTATAGGATTACAATTTGTAGAATTCCAAAGAAGAATGTGCTAAAAACAAGGCATTGAAAATAGAAACAAAGACTAAGACTTTTGACTAGAAATAAGTGTGTTGTTGAATGCCTCTTTGCCTGCCACGACCTTGACTCATTTGTTGACTCTCTCTTGGTATTCTTGATGAGAATGGACTTGAAATGGACTGAGGAAAGGGCTGGTCGAATCTTGAGTAAAACAAACCCATAATGAAACTTTTATGAACTTTTCTTTGGGCTGAAAAGTGTCAATTTCTCCCAGCAGATAAATCAACTCCACCTTCAGTGTATAATAGCTCACTCAGCGCCAAATTAGTGTCACTAAGCTCACTTAGATCATCCAACTCCAAAGTAGTGTCGGTCCAGCTCACTTGAATGTACACATGTCTCAATTCTCGAGAACCGAAGACCATCTGATTTGTAAATAACATAACTCCCACATCTGCACTCCATTTGATCTGGTTCTTCTTCGAAGAACTCCATAATTGAGTTGAGCACACTCTCCAAGTGATTTCATGCGTAGAATCATCCTGGTTTGGAAGATATGAGTCAAACAATGAACATATAACTTAACTGCTTCCCATGATCGAGCCATGTATGTCTGTTTTGCCTAGTGCTTTACCCAAGGGTGCATCATTCCCTCCCTCTTGAAAAGGATTTGACCTCAAATCCATTTTACCTGTATAAAGAGAAAATAATTCAGTCAAAAAGAATTTAAGGATCATGTAAAATTCAGTGAAGGAAAACTTTGGACAGAAACTTCCTTGAAAGTTTGAACTCGTTTCCCTCATGTATGCCCGGTTTCATGTTCCACGAACACAAGTCCGTAGGCGTTCACCAGTGCTTGCTCTCCTTGGAAACTGATCATTCTTACCCTGTTCATTCAAAACAATTAGAGAAACCACATCAAATCTGCGAAAGAAATAATCAAAGGGTTTTCTATCCTTAAGACATCAAAATCAGGATCCAAGCGCCTAAGATAATCATCAAGCACGTGGGCAAGCATCAAGAAAGTAAACTGATTTCCAAAAATTAGTTTATCAATTAGAAAATCAGGCCAATGTGTGAAACTGTTAGGAAAAGAATGAGACAGTGCCAAATCTGGAAGTTTTTTTATCATGAACGAATTCAAATTTATTCTTTGGCCTAAGCAATTTTGATTCATGATTTTTTCTACACCAAATCTCTTTCAAAGCACAGCTTAATGAATAAAAAAAATCATGAAAAGGTTTAAGCAAAATATTTTTCAACCAAGTAAAGATTCGTTTTTGCTTAGAAATTCTTGGTTTCAAAACGTCTTCATGATAAGAAGAGACAATCAACTCATGATTCTTACAGTGCTTTTGTCTTAGACACGGTATTGACTGAGGGATCACCTTTGGTTTAATGCTGGTTGATTTCTCCAACAATTTCTTTGGTGATGAACTCTTTGGTGCCTCTTCGGTTTGGTTTGCTTCCAATTCAACAGGCCAAGAAGATGGAAGAGAACACTTAAGCTCAATGGACACGTCCAACGTAACCTGTTTCCTGCCATGACATTAACAGATTCATCAGCACAAATAAATTCAGAAGTTTTAGAATTACCTCCGGGTGCTTGGCTAAGTGATGAAAACTGTGCTGTCTTTGGTTTGGCCAGTTTTGGTGGTTGGATCATAACTACATAATTCCAAAGTCATTTCTCCTAGTTTCGGTATTTCTGGAAATCTGAGAGATCCATCTTGAATCCTATGATCGCTTTTGGCTCAGACCGCTTCTTTCTTGGGCCTGAATCTCCTTTAGAATTCTGGTATTCGCAGATAGACGAACTGGAGAACCTCAGGTTTGAAAAATCTATAACTCCTTCCTCCGTGAAGCTTTTCATGCGATTCCAAGCCTCAGTGAAGCCTTGGTAAGTGTACCTTCCAGGGAAATTTGATTCTCGACAAAATACATTCTGAATGTTAAGATATCCTCCTAGGACTGAACCTCTATCGCTGGCATCTCCAAGGTATCCAGTTTGGACAACAATGGCTCTCTAAATCTCAGGCTGTTGGGTACAGTCAATGCTCTCGTTTCTTTGAGGATGCACCTGTCTTTCCTGGACAATAAAAACAGAAACTAAAAGACCAGGATCAAATGTGCAAGATAAATACTTGTTCATATCATAACACAAAATTTCCTTTCCAAGAACAAGTAGCACAAGTTTCAGTCTTTCAAGATGCATATCAAAGTAGACATTACAGACTAGAATCTTATCAGGATATGCAACAATATTATTCATTTTCAAGATATGCATATACTTCTAAACATCTGAACACAAAAGAGTAAGTTCAGATTGACAAACAACTATCAAAGACTCAAGATGTTTTTCAAAGAAAGTGTTGTAAACCACAGTATCATCAAGGCTCAAAACAACACAATTATCATCAAGTGATCTCAGAACATGTTAAGTTCTATCAGTTTCAGAACACACAAGATCAGGCTGCAAAATAAAATCACAAAAATCATTTTCAGTTTCAAGTGATTTCGGTTCCAGCAACTTCGTAATCAAAATATTGTTCAAGACACAAGTGGATGCAAAAAAGCACTAGTGATCAGTGAATGTGTAGAAGAACTCATATTAAAGCCAATGCCTTTGAAAACAAATGAATCAAACGGTTCTCTAGTATAGAAATCAAGCGGCTGCAAATCAAGTTCAAGAGATTCTTCAAAAAGATCATAGCATTTGCTATGTGTCAAAATAATTCCAGAAGTGATGCCATTGACATTTTGAAAACATTTTTGATCAAGAAGTTCATCTGGTTTAAACACTTTAAAAGAATTAATAGTGTTTTTAAAAACAGATTTTGAAACACAAAAATCTTTCAACTTGTCAAGGCCAAAACGAACAACATCATGAGAACTGACTTTGACAAACATATTAGGCAAAGAATTAAGAAAATCAGATTCTTCACAGTGCTCTTGAAGATCAGGAGACAAAGGGGCAGGAGTTGTGTCGGGATCAAAGCAAAGATGTCTCTCCACAACGATGGATGTAAGGCTTGTTGCTTCTTCATCAAAGATGGGGCCTAGACCATCGTCCAAGGGTCTCTTGGTGTCAAAACGTGGTCTTTGTTGTGGGTAGTTGAATTGCTCTTCCTCACAATCCTGTGAAACTAGAACAAGACTACTCGGATGCTCCGGTTCAAAACATGTTAGTCCATTAGTCTCTTCATTATCACACATAAATCAGATTTTGTGTGGAAACCGAAATTCACACTTGTCGATTTCCGTTAAATAAGGAAACTTAGGAAAACCCTAATTTTCCAGAGGAACCGGATCTCTGCGAAAGCCAACGATAAGTAACCAAATAAATGCGGAAAAATATGAAAAAACATAATAAAGCGAATTTATAAAGAAAGTCGATCTTATTTCCGATTCGCGTAAGAGCGTTGCGATCATTACAAGGAATTACAAAGGCTTTGGCCGCAGGGGCCATCAGCGAGTTACAAACATAAAACCCTAGATCTAGTCGAGTCGCAGCTCGATAACGAAAAACGGAAAAAGATAGGAAAAAAAGTTTGAATGATTTCGGACTGAACCTTATGAAAGGCTGCCTACGTACCCCTTTCGGGGATCAAGTCGAACGTAGTTCAGTTGATAGAGCTGGACAAGAGATCGAACTGCCTGGGCGAGTTCGTCTAGTAATTGAGCGCCAGTCATAGAAACCGATCTTGTCGAGAAAAAGCCTAAGTTTCTAAGTGCGGAAAATTCTAAATCTAGAAAAGTTGTGAAAGTCTCAAATGAGAGCTCTGGATTTCGTGTCCTTTGCTTCTGCCCTAGACCTCTTATTTATATACTCCTCGCCTTGGCCATCTGGTCTTTCCATTTCGCCCAGATTTAACTATATCGGGAATTTTCTATTTTTCTCGATCCTTCATTTTCTTCCGCGGAAATCTTCTATTTATCTTTAAACTTGCTTTTTATCTTCGAACTTGAAATTTATTTTTCCTTCTGCGAATATACCGTCTAAACGTTCTCGAATCTTCGGGTTAGATTCCGGTAAGATCGCGAGATGGGTTTTTATCGCGTTTTAGGTCCTTCCGGACCGTTTCGCGATAAATCCGTTTTCCAATTTTTACGGGATCGTTTCCTGATCTGACATCGTTTTTCATAAATTCCTCGAGTTAATCATAAGGTTTACGGTTTACTCGACTTTTTTATTAAAAATACGTTTTTTACGATTTACTCGACGTTTTTTATTAAAAACACGTTTTTTATGATTTCAACGAGAAATCTTGAATAAATCGTATAGTTTAGGCAATTTTCGGTGTTTCGTTTAACCGCTGCCGTCTATACGATTTCTTCGAGTTCATTATCGAGAAAGCGAAGTTTTACGGTTTTTATCGTAAAACTCGAACGATAAGTCGGATCGAGATTGAACGGGAGATGTTTCGGTCGTGGTTCAGAACGTGACCGTGTCGGAAGTTTCGAGTCGGGAATGCGGGAGATCGAGGCGCGGGATATCCGGGAAATCTCTAGTTCGCCCATCGGCGAACTAAGCCGGGCCGGCTTAGTTCGCCAATGGGCAAACTAGTCGAGTGCTTCCTAGTTCGCCCATTGGCGAACTAAGCTGGGCTAGCTTAGTTCGCCAATAGGCGAACTAGTCGAGTGCCTCTTAGTTTGCCTATTGGCGAACTAAGCTGGGCTAGCTTAGTTCGCCAATAGGCGAACTAGTCGAGTGCCTCTTAGTTTGCCTATTGGCGAACTAAGCTGGGCTAGCTTAGTTCGCCAATAGGCGAACTAGTCGAGTGCCTCTTAGTTCGCCTATTGGCGAACTAAGCTGGGCTAGCTTAGTTGGCCAATAGGCGAACTAGTCGAGTGCCTCTTAGTTCGCCTATTGGCGAACTAAGCTGGGCT